AAAAAAAAAAAAAAAAAAAAAAAAAGTAGGTAGATTCAGAGTAATGTTGAGAACCTCTTTGACCATTTCCCTTCCCTCCCCCTTTTTTAAGACAGAAATCCTGCCTAAGGAAATTCTTATTACACAAAGAACTTAGAAATGTTTTTTTCTATAAGTAACAAAGCCTAAAAGTTATCTTCCCTAAAGTTTCTATTTGGAGGCCCAGAATTTAAACCAATACATTTTGATCCCAATTTATCAGAGTCCACCACTATCACAAACCCTTTGAAAGTCTGCAAATACACCTACAGATACTGAATCAAAGTTAGGAGAAACCATGGCAGAGACTTTCAGGTCATCTTCTCTCTCAGTCATAGGCCATACACCTGTAATTTTAAGAGAAAAAAAAGTATTTACTCATAAAGTAAAACTTGCTGTACTTTTTAAAACTTGTTGTTTTAAGGTTTATCTGTACCATATATCAAAAATATACGCACGAGTTGAAAAAAAAACTGAGGCATTACAGAATGAGAAGCTTTATGCTAATTCTTTCCCCTCTACATTACTAGAAAGAAAAACTGTCTCTTTTTCCAAAGATATTAGCTAAGATGTGACCCATTGACTGACCAGTGTCAGGAATTTCAATTCCCTATCCTTAGCTACCGGTAGAAGCCAAAAAGAGTACAACTCTTTTGAAGGTAAACTGGCTATAATTATCAAAATGTAAAATTCACAAAAAAAATGTAAAATTCACATACCCTGTGACTTAACAATTCTACTCCCAAACATTTACTCAATACTCATGGACATGCCCAAGGAGTTTCTCTGTTGCTAGTAATTATTAAAAACAGCCTAAATCTAAATTATATTTCTATTAATAGAGAAATAGTTAACTAAATTATGGTATATCAATACTGTGCAATGGTCCAAAACCCAAAACTCTAACTGTCCATCTTTATATACTGACATGAAAAGAACTCCTAGATATGCTATTAATTTTATGCTATTAATTTTAAAAAAGCAAGATGTAGTACAATGTCTCTAATACACACGTATTTGTGTAAAAACAATTATATAAACAGGAAAATTTTCTCAAAGAATACACAAAAGCTTTTAATAAAGGTTACCTTTAAATAATCTAGTGGAACTAAGACCTGGGGTTTATGCTTTCAGTACTGTTTGAATTATTTTGACCATATTCATTTTCTTTTTACAACTGAAAATTTAAAAAATGTTTATAGTGCATAATGAGGTATTAAGAACAAGTTATAGAGATCCTAAATAAATAAGAAACATAAATAATACATAGGCACATACATATGTGTATATATATACATATATATATGACAGATTATTGGCTGTCCCCCTAACATCCATTCTTCCCTCCTCCTTCTTTGTGGCAGAACACTAATTCTGTTGAGGCATTCACCTCATCTCAAAGTTATTGAATTGGTCAAATCCCATCATGATGATTTCTCCCCTGACCTTTCGTTGTTTGAGTCGTGATCATGGAGCCTAATCCTGGCAGATGTGAGGTGAGGAAAGGTGGGAGTCGGCATGCTGGTACATGCTTCCGGGAAAGCTAGTCCTCCCTAATAAATGGGGACACTTGGGAGAAATATCTCTCTTCTTCCCTGGAAATCATACTTGCACATAATGCCTGGAACTGCTAAAATCACCCTGTGACCCTGAGAGGAAACATCCCCCCACACTGAGGATGGCTGACTGAAAATATAGAAAGCACCTGGATGATGTCACATGAATCAGCTGTCTCACAAAGAGAAGAACCACCTACAATTGCCAGCAGGCATTCCCACCAATATTACACTGTTTGGAATAAGAATTTCCACAACTTAGTGAGAGTACAAAAGGCTGCTTGTTGCCCACCCAGTAAAGATTCTTCAGTCTTCTTCACTAAAAAAGAGTCCAATTTTATCCTAAGTAACTAAGTGCTCAACCAAAATGCTAAATTTCCCAGGCTCTTTTGCAGCTTGGAATGGCCAGTCAGATGTAAGTGGAAGCTGTTCAGGGTGTGGCTTCCAGGAAAGATCATTAAGTGAGCTGACTCAGCTGCAGATGTGAGGGCAGGAGTTCCAGAAGCCATCCTAGACCAACAGAAGACCCTGAGTGAGAAGGAATCAGAGTCCCTGATGACTTTGGAACTGCCAAATCAACACTGGACTGCCCATTACTGGACTTGTTTTCCATGAGAAAGAAATAAACCTGTGCCTTATTTAAGCCACCCTATTTAGGCATTCTGTTATATGCAGTCAGGCATAAACCTGAATAGCACATCTTCCAACAAGGTTACCAAGTACAAATGTTTCTACTACTCAATGGTAGAAGCAACTTAGTTATCCTAGACATATTTCAAATGGGTGAAGACTTCCATTTATATGCCCATGTCTT